TGGGACCCCTCAATGGACTTTACAGTCTTGTCTGTGGACTTGGTCTGCTTCACATCAGATACTTGTTTCATGGTTGGCGTTGCCCTTGTTGGGGGGTGGGAGGGGGCAATCTGCTACTTTGTGTCCAAGTTGGTGATATGTTCCAACACTACAATTGTTGTTTATTTCGGATTCAACCGTCACAGTTTCACAACACCAGTTTTCCAAATTCCAAAATGTCTGACTAGTGGGTATGAGTCATACACGAGTTGACCTTTCAACCTAGATAATGATATGCACGTAGACTGATTGCCTGTCATATGTGAACACGAAATCCCTCCCCTTTTAGAAAAGACCTTCTCATCGGTCGATTATAATCGAACAGATGGTGAATTAACGGTAACAAGTTTATCTACATGTAAACACTCTAAAACTACATATATTTCTTGCAATAACACAAATTTGGGTGAACCTTCTTTTGCTCCACTTACTTTTGAGCAGTGTTAAGCTAATGTTTGACTGAGTATATGTAATACATGAGCGTCAGGCACAGTATCTGCCTCTAATGAGATTTGAGATTAAACACCGGCAAATCCACAAAAATTATCTGTCAGGTTTATGGCCAAAATTTAACATGCAGCTTATCAAGCCTGGGATAGAACATATTAAGCACAGCAACTAGCAACAGTAAATATTTTGCAAACACTGAAATAATGTTCCAAGCATAACTTTAGATATGACACATGCACAGGACAGGCTTTCGAGTGTCAATGCACTCAAGCAGTTCAGGTCAAAGTTCAGTGTCCATTCAGTCCAACACATAGTCTTTGTATTTAAGAGGCATGCCATATTGTCTCTTGGGTCTGCTGATGCGTGGATTGGACTGTTCACTCACAACTGGTGGACTTGTAATGGGTGGGGTATCTATCACCCCCTTTTGAGGGGGTGGAGCATGATCCTAGAGTGTGTCACTACTGTCCACAGTTGGAGGTTGCTTGGTAGTCTCCATTCCAGGCGGTTTGATGTCGTTCACGTTCTGTATGAATTTTCGCACATGACTTGTATTGCGCGAATACTGGGCACCTTCAGGTGACGCGACTATGACGCTGTTGCCAGATCTGCTCACAAAAGTGAATGGTTCGGGGTTGAATGGGGTGGAAAATTTGTTTGTCTTCTCCTGCCTCACAAGGTCTTCATCTCCGACTCATATTTTAGTATTTTGCTTTTTGACGAGCATCCACGTACAGCTTGGCTTTTCCTTTGTTCTCCGCATCCCTATCACGGATTTCCAGGTCAGTGCGGTCCCATTCCTGGAACACCGGTAACTTTACGCGGATTTTTCGATTGAACAACAACTCGGCAGGAGTCTTTCTCGTGGCGGGATGTTCAGTCGCGCAGTATTTTGCCACATATTTTCGAAGTTCTTTCTGCCAATTCTGGCCTGCAGCTTGTGCGATACGAATTCCATCGAGTCGTTTTGGCGTTCCACCTCACCGTTTGCTTGTGCCCACTTGGCTGTGACTTTCACTGTTTGCCCCACAAAAGCCGCGAAACTCTTGCGAGCAGAACTGGGGACCGTTGTCAGTTTTTAGTGTCAGTGGGAGGCCATGACGACTAAAAGCCTCCTCGAGGGCATCAATGACTTTGTCCGAGGTGGTGGAACCCAGTATCGGCTGTAGTAGTCGACCAATACTAGTACTGAGTGTCCAGATGGCAGCGGTCCCAGGAGATCGGTTGCAACTCAAGTACTGACGGTTCTTGTGTTGGCCCAGCATCTCTGCCTTGCACAAAGTCTGTCATAATGACGGCCTCAGTGTTCAGATTGACCTTCAGAGACTACAGGCCTTGAATCAGGTAGTCCCCTTTGCCCTTGAGAGAAATCAGATGCCTGCAAACATCAGGATGGCTGTCAATCAGCATTGAGAGCAATGCAGACAAGCCAGCCAGATCGACGGATGAGGTGCTGATCCCTTGGTCCTTGGATGACAGTTCCCCAGAAACTGGCGATGAGGTGGCATGGGTATTGGTGGCTGCAGGCGATAGAGGGGCAACCGTCAGTGAGAGGACTGCCAGTGGTGGAAGGGATGCAGGAGATGGAGTGGATGGAGGCAATGAAGGGACAGCTGTCTTTGAGAGGACTGTTGGTGGTGGAGTGGATGCAGGTAATGGATGGGCTGTAGGCAACAGAGGGGCTGCCCGTGGTGGAGGGGCTGCAAGCGATGCAAGGACTGCAGGCAGTGGAAGGGCAGCAGGTGACGGAAGGGCTACGGGTGATGGTGGCGATGAAGGGGCTGACTGCTGAAACAGGAGCAGTCTTACGCACCAGCAAGATGAGGGGTTTATCGTCTTCATCTTCTGATGACTCAATTCTTGGTCTCTTCGGTGCTGAAATGAAATAAAATCTTTTACTCATAATAGCTGTTAACTGGAAAGCATTTCAAATGTAATTAACATCAAAGATGTTAATTACACTTTGGACATTTTATAACCGATGGATAAATATGGTATATATATGTACTTAAGTTATGAAGTCCGCATTTACGTGCTCGTCATCATATCAGCGTTTGACTTAAGAAATTATTCAACGAATTAGTGATCATTTGCCAAGATGTTGCAATCTGTGCAACCCCCAGGTCGTCCTCGGCCGCAAGCGGTCTAGTCTGAGGCAGCCAAGGGAGCAGGCCTGTTTCAGGGCAGTCTACCGCCAGGTGCAGCAGGAGAGCAGCACAGGCGCACACTGGGGTAGAGGACAGGGTGGGACACAGGGAGCACCACAGACACAAATGGACACGTCTGCCTAAGATGACTCTGGTTTAATAACTGTTCACACCTCTCGAGGCGCTACTTATTACGCGACCTCCACAGGCCCTGGCAATCTCCTAGTCAGATCTTGGTCCTATACAGGTCTTGATCCCTATACAGGTGTAAGCTAAGGGCACAACCTGTTTCACATCCACCAAATCCCCTTGTAAGATTACCGCCCCGTGGATGGAGTTCCCCGAATAAACTCGTCCCCTAATTATTTATATTAAATCTAAAGATCCCCCAGTAAGTTGCTTACTTACGGGTAGGGCCTGGTAGTTCTCCCCGGAGGGAGCAGTAAAGAAACCATATGGCAACTCAACGGCACTGGAACTAAAACGGCATGTGGGACTAACTGCGAAGGAATTGACACACTTGGCGTGCGATCGCACTTATATAACTCGCGGGCCACCAGCCTGGCACCACCAGCCACAGTGCACAACAGGTCCCGTCGACGTCAGGGAATAAGCCCTGGGCCTAACTACGACGGCTAAGAATAAACACGCAAACTACTATTGCGCCACAATATCTTTTGTAAGCTGCTGATTACAAGAATTGATGAAAACCAAACCTTTGTGTTCTGCCATGACTTTTATTTGGAAATAAAAGAGTGGATGCAATGAAAGTGGTGTTTCCCTAATATACATGTATACTCACATTTGGGTTGAAGCACTCATGCTCTGTACGTCCCAGATTTGTACAGGTACAACTACACCTTCTTCCAGCGGATCTCGGCACTTGATTTGGCTCCTCTTCACCAGTTCGACGATACCAGCATATCTCGTTGGGCTAAGCCAACACACTTTGACAAAGTTGTTCATGTTCGATGGTGTCCGGTATTCTCGATAAGTTTTGCTGAATATTGAAGGAATGATGCTATCCCAGTTTGCACCTTATTTTTTAAGATCAATGGTAGCCGACACGAATAAAAGTAGAAAGCCGGGAAGGGGGCTTACCGACAAACATTGAACTTTAATGAGAGGGTTACCCTAGATGTTGCATCCAGTGTCACTGAGGCTTTTAATAAACCCTGGTAATGGTGTAAATGATGCCGACTGTGTGTCATTAAGTTCATACAGCTTTTTAAGTAGCATGATGCTGTCAGCTGAAACTCAATAACCTTTCTGACCCAGAAGGATTCATAGCCCTGTCAGGGGTAACAATTATTTTATGCGGATTATGATCAAAGAAGAGATCTATGCAAAACAATCACGCATCCGTGAAAGAACGTTACAATGCAATCCTTTAAAGTCAGAAAAATTGAAACAATAATCATCACCAGAACAATTATTTTCTAGCATTTTAATACTTAATGAGAAGACATAACATCTTAAAATTAGCTTTTCACCTTTTACTTCAGTCACCTTTTACTTCAGATTGAAGCGAAGCAATTTCGACGACATGAAAAATTTGTTACAAAATTTCACTTGAGTTGAAATGCGTTGAGGCCGGTTCTTACTTCCCACAAAACCGAAAGCGGGCATGAATTTGTGAATATTTTATGAATTTAAAATTTTATGAATTAATTAATTTTATTTTATGAATAACAATAGCGTGCTTAGCCTCCAGGAAGCTCATGTAAAAACACCATGAAACTACAATGAGCTTATCCCCGCCAAGCTGGCTCGTCTGCACTGTGAAAATGGTCATACTTTGCCATGTAAGAAAGTTTCCTGGTGAATTAAATGTAAAGTATATTTTCATGGTGTTGAGATTTATAGTGATTTATTGCCCAGAAATGCAGCGCTGGAGAGCTTTTGTCCTTGGTTGTAATCTTTCGTATTGAATGCCACAAATAGTGGTATAGTGTTTCCAAAAAAAGGACGGAGTACCTCCGCTATTGAAAACTGAAAAAATGTTCTTCCAGTCCCAGCAGCTCGATCTTTTGTTCAGAGTACGGTCTTTTGTTGCTCCTTTGTCCGATTTTGGCCTACCTGGCTATGTGTATAGACATAAGGTACCCGATACCAGGTCCTCTAGTGCAAAGTGGTTAGCTGCCTGCTGCTTTCAATGAGGTAATTTCCATTATGAGTAAATGCACAATGCTTGCAAAGGAAATGGCAATTTAATTTTGCAGATGAGAGGGCAGTGACATGGCTTCACAAGGCTATTAGTAGGGGAACCCCTTCAGAGACAACGCTGTTCAAGGAAAGTAATGGTCATTTATTTTTTTATATCCTGGTTAGATTTACACAAAAATTTGTCAAAAGGTTTCTTACCTGAAAAGGTGAGTGCAGCTGGAGTTTCTTCCAACCTAGATGGCCTAGCAGATTCCACTGATATATCTCTGAGTTGCTCTGGACTTGCTGTCATTTCGTGCTTAGAATCTTGTACCTGAAAAAAATTCAACCAATCCTGGTTTCTGACAAATTTGACTTCAGAAACATGGAGGATTTTTAACACAGATCCTTGTGATTTAATTGCAGGGAACTCATATATTTTGACCTTCAATATTTCTGCCATTTGGACTAGGGCTTAAAAAGTCCCACTTTTTGCCACTCAATATTTGTATACAATAATGCATCCACAAACTCAGCCATGTTGATAATGGTGATTCTGATGGTTTTTCTTAAGTGCAACATCACGCCAGAGGAGGCAAACCTAGTAAGTTGTAGATGTCAATCCCTAAATGCCACAGAAAACAATCTTGAAAACGACCCCAACCCAAACCACACAAAATCAAACAACAGAGCAGAACTTCAGCGAGATATTTCCAAGGGCCAAAGCTATAAAAGAATGCAAACTTCTACAATAATGACTGCAAGTATAACATGAAAATGTGAAACACATGTTCGAAAGAAATACCACACGCAAACAAGTTATCACCTCATAAGGTATTCTCTCGATGGATATCAAGAACAGAACTGTCAACATTTAAAAAAAAAATGGTTAGAACATTGCCAAATGTTCCACTGAAAGAGGAAATAACCAAATGATAGTGTCATTTTATACTTCAGATAAAGTTGAAACAGACTTTTGTCTGAGCATTGAGGAGATTCCCTTAATGGTTCAAGAGCAGGTCAAGCACACATAGCATTCAATTGCACTTCGTACACATATTAAAATCAGTACTATGGCTGATTTCTGTCTCCTAATGAATCATTCTGTTGTGTATCAGTAAAGAAAAGTATGGAAGTATGCACATTTACATGTAAGCATCTGGATAGAACTCCAGTTGGTAAAGGTGAAGTACTTTAGCGGGGATGGGATGCTAAAAAGTTCGCTTGGTAATTTTACAGGGTGTGGGTGTGTCCCAGTCTTCTGTCAATTCACACACGCTAATAAACGTTAATTTGCACAATCTGCTCCCAAGTGGTTGAAAGCACACTTGCCGGGACCTTCATTTTTAGGAAAATATGTTAGTCTATGGACGCGTTAGGAGGACCAAATAACAGACAAGGGAAGCCAGGGTTAAACAATTAAACACTGATTTCAAGAAATACTTCGGGCTATAACAGATTATTACCACGATAACAAGAAATTCTTCACACAAGGATAAGAGATGGATGGAATAATGAATTATGTGCGCAGCTCAATTGAAAACCTGGAGGTACTCTAAATACAGGGCACCACTTCTTCAAGCGGTGGATCAAAGGCACCTCAATACAACACCTCCAGGAGGGGTCTCTTTTCTCTGAACAATTAAGTGTCAAGTGTTCTTGAATTATTCCAAATTAACTCTTTAAAGTAAAAGGTTGTTTAAATACAGAAAATGCCTGACTGGAATATGACCAGACAGTGCCCTCAGTTGATGTGCCAACTGGATATAAAACTTTTGGGCTGGTAATTTACACTAGTGACTGAACTCAGCAGGCAGCAACTTAGTTATTTAATCATTGTGGCCTAGTGGTTAGGGTTTGTAGCAGCATGTTTTGATCCTGGGCAAGTCACTTTACTCTTATGTGCCCCTCTCCACCCAGGAGTAAATGGGTACCTGTGAGGGCAGACACGGTTACATGCATGTTTAGCCGTTTGTGCCGAAATGGCAGCACTTGCTAATATACTCCCAGAAAGCTGAGATGCATGGTCTCAGGAATGTTCAGAATTACGATGTGTGAGCCCAATGTGCAGGGACAATAATGGCACTTTGAAAAGTTGTGGAAAGCACATTACAAATGTTGTGATGCTAATTATTATTATTATTACTAAATTTTGTGCTGCCTATTTGGGCTACAAGAGCACCAAAACAGGCTTTGCTTATATCCTAAAAATGCCTACGCACGTGCCAAAGAATAAGATAAAGTGCACCTAATTAGGATTTAATTATACGTGCCCACACCAGCTATCTACATTTATTGCAGAATGCATTGTGGCAAAGGCCCACTATTAGGAAATGATTTGCACAACTGTGTTATGTCAAAAGAAAGTATGCATGCACAGAGACTGTAGTTTCCTTTTCCTATTAAATCAATATACTACTGAGATTGGTTGAATTTGTGTGAATAGATATGTAGAGTATTGTGGCCTTAAGTGCTGCTCAATTTGTAGTCTGTGGGGCATGGTGCTTGTGCACTCATTGCTTTTCGGGCAGATCTGCAGGCATGTGTAGGTGGCAGGACTGGTTCATGGGTTGGGCGCAGGGTTGATTCGTCGCTAGATGGCTGGACGGGTCCATGGGCTGATGGAAGGACAGGTACGTGGTTGGGTTGTAGGACTGGTTCGTCAGCTGGTTGCGGGACTGGCCCGTTTCCAGGTGGTTAACAGGTCCATGGTCGGGTGGCGGGACGGGTCCGTGGTTGGGTGGCAGAATGGGTTCGTGGGTGGGTGGCGGGACGGGTTCGTTAGTTCTCGCAGGTCGTTCATCAGGCCCATTAGTGGATACATCAACTAGTCTTTGATGAGAGGGATGGCTGTCTCTTTGCATCAGTCTTCCTCTGATGAGTCGTGAAGTGCTGGTCATAACATTAGCAATCTTGACAAATCTTCAAGACGTCGTTCCTGCAGCACATGAATTGCTGACGTCGTGTTTTTTTGTTGCTCCAGGATTCGGTTCATCATTTAAACTATCACCTCATTTTCATTGATTTGCTCTGGCCTGGGGATCAATGCAAGATGTTGGCTATCTTTGTTGTCAGACTCATCAATGGTCTTCTTGCAATATGCGGAGAGGATGACTGAGGCTGGCGAACAAAATCTGTAAAACAGAGGGCAGGAAAGGACACCTTGAATGTTCGCACTGTTCACTTGCAAGGTTCTGCCACAAGTGACCAGTACAGCCACACAATGTCAGTACCCTCCCATCCACTGCTCAGCCAGGCATCTTCCATTTCTGTAAGAGGGGTGACTCAGTCAAATGCAAGAAAGGTAGAGACTCGTCCACTTAATAAAAAAAATGGGGGTGTTCTTAAATTGACAATCTCTACACACTCCCCTGCAAAATTAAATGTTGTCTCAACATTTACATCATTAGGGTCAGGGTCAATGGGGTCGTGACTTCCATCTCTCCTCACCACACAACCTTGAACGTCAGTTCAGATGCCAGAGGAACACAAACTTGATGAAAAGCAGAGCACTTCTGTCCCATGACCTCATGCACTACCCCTGAAGCTGGAGAAGGTGTTCTCCTCATGTCCATGGGCGGTGAATCATAGGTCTCCTCTTTTCACTGCGCAGTGGTTGAGCTGTCACAAGTGCTGACTTCAGTCTTCTCGGTTTGGTACTAACTTGACGAGTTGGTGGGACAGCCTATCCTTGCTGCGGGTGTGGGTTCATCGAGGGTGTTGTAACTCAAAGGGCTTGTTGCGCATACATGTAAGGTTTGAACCATGGTAATCTTGGGCTCCTCCAGGGTGCAGGCAGCTGCTGGGCAGGCATTGTCCAAGGTGGTGGGAGTGGAGACCCTTGGATGGCCATTAAGTGAGGGTGTATGTGCTGCCATGATGGTTTCCCCCAAGTGGTTGTAGCTGAAGGTCATTGGGGGGTGCTGTTCTCTGCGTGGCCTCTCATCAGTTGGTTCTTGCTGGTCAGGAGGCTGTGGAGCATGGTCACCAACTGTCTGTTGTGTAGGATCGGCCTGCTGTTGATGGTCATCAGTCACTGCATCCTGGGTTGTCTCTGTGGAGGTAGGCAAGGTAGGACAGTCTTCTTGATGATCCATAGCTGTCAAAACCTCTCAGCCAACAGCTTCAAACTGATCCTCCACTGGGCTTTGAACAAGGTCTTCTACTTGTGTTGGTTCAAAGGGTACTGCTGCAGGATCCAGAGTCACCCAGTGCATGTAAGTACCGGAGGACTGCTGACTTCGGGTATGAGGCTGATACAGCACTGCTCCAAGTCCGTCGTTAGAGGCATCAGTATGTAAGAGGAATGGCTCCTGGTAGTTGGGAAATGCCATGACAGGTGGTGACACAAGGAAACCAAGAATCTTCTCCAGGATACTCTGATGATGGTCCTTCCAGTCCACTTTCTGTTCTTGCCTTTGGTCTATCCTTTGGCGTTTGTCCTCTGCCCAGCGCCAGGTGTCACCTTCAGTAGGTCGTAAAGAGGTCTTGCGATACGTGAAAAATCTTGGATGTAACTGCAATAGTACCCAATTCAGCCAAGCAATTTTCTCACGTCTCTAATGCTGTCTGGTCTTCTCTCACTGAGGGATTTGATGGCAGCAATGTCAGATGGGTCTAACCGATGGCCCTCTGCTGACATGATTTGGCCCAAGTAACGTACCTTTGATAGAAAGAGCTGGCACTTTTTAGGTCGTAACTTCACACCATGAGCCTGCAACCGCTTCAGAACCTGCCTCTGGTGATCAACGTGGTGTTCGAAGTTGTCACTAAAGACCACAACATCGTCGAGGTAAGTCATTGCAATTTCCCCATTGAGGCCATCTAGGCAGGTTTCCATAAACCCGTGGAAGACTGCTGGGGCATTTGTGAGTCCAAAAGGAATTTGGACCCACTCTTTAAGTCCCCAAGGTGTGATGAAGGCTGTAAGGGGGCAGCTTTCTTCAGTCATGAAACCCTGGTGGTAAGCTTTCCCCTGGTCAAGGGTAGAAAACCAGTGGTTGCCCCCAAGCCATCTAGCACATCCTTGATCAGCGGGATTGTCTGACGATCAGGTATGGTCTTTCGATTCAACTCCCGGTAATCAATGCAGAGTCAAAGGCTGACATCTTTCTTCCTTACGCAGACCACTGGAGATGAATATGGTGAGGTGGGTTTAGTAATCCAATCCCGGCTAATCAAGTCTGCCAGGTATATGCGGACCTCTTGATACAGCAAGCGTGGCATGGACATGTACGTCTTCCGCACAGGTTCCTCGTCACGCAGCTTGATTTTCATCTGGAGGTCATGTATGCAGCCTAAATCAGTTTCATCTTTAGCAAATGCTGCCGATTCTTCTCGGAGTAGATTTTCTGCAATAGCTCTCTGTGCTTGTGTCAAATGGCTCAGGTCCATCAGTGGTAGCCAATTGCTCTCCGATGATACACTGTTTATTACAGTGTGATGCTGGGCATCAGTTTTGGTAGGACATGGGGTCCATTTGTGGAACACTGAGGGTTCTATGGGATGTACTGAGTGGATCAATCGAAGGTGTCTCAGGAGACTCCGCTGACGCAATGTAATGTTTCAGCTTGTGGTGTTGGTCACTCTGATCGTTACAGGGCAATGGCTACCTGGAATCAGGTTTACGACAGCCTCGTCCACTTGGAGACCTTCAGGTAACTGGCTTTCAACTGCAGGTTCAAAGAGTACTTTCATCTTCTCTGTCAGTCCTGTGTGTGTCTGGCACCGGATACCAGTGTTACTGTGGCTCAGGATGGTTACATCGTTTCATCCGGACTTAATGATGCTGATCTCCTCTGGATCATTGGTCTGGATCAAGTTGACCAACTTTTCAGCTCGGGTTGGTTCAAGGCTTTTGATGGCCTCCCCCACTATGCTTCTTGCATCCCCAACCGGAAAGTTGGATGACCATTGCTATTACGATGCAACCTATGATAGGTTGCTGCAGCTGGTCATTGGTCACCAAGGCAGGAAAGGACAGCTGCAGCTGAGTCTTGGGTGTTTTCATCTGGATCTCCATCTCAACCCAACCTTCAAATGGAACTGTCGTACCGTTAGCAGCTCGGAGATCAAGATTCTGCTCATACTGGACAAGTTCTGAGACTGGATGAATAACAATCTCAGGCAGGTTGTGGCGAAGCCAGGTGATGCTAACCAAAGAAACTTGGGCTCCGGTGTCACACAACACAGTTGATGGAATGTCGTTGAGGTAGCAATCTATGGTGCAACAGTGACCCACAAGCTTGGTGATTTTGTGGTGATGTCGAGGCGAGATGTGACAGACGGTACACATTGAAGGGGATGTTTCTTCTTTGGACTGGGATGTTTTTCTGGATCTGGCTACACTCTGTCCCCTGGGCACAGCCTTCTGTCGTTTCCCTGATGTGTGGTTCTGGCTTGACGGCAGCCCCGTGCAAAGTGTTCTGCTGATCCGCATTGCAGTGGTCACAAGTTTCTCCTCTGCCGTTTTGCTGGCAGTCCTGGCATCCATGGCGCACACATGCTTTTGACTTAGCCACAGGTTGGGTTCTCCTGGGGTTGTCACTCAAGGATGCTTGGAGTGCCGCTACTTGATCTTTTAGGCAAGACAACTCAGCGATGCCTTTCTTCAGATGATTAATCTCTGCAAGCAGCAGGCCTTGTTTTGGGGCTGACTTCTTGTCTGGGCCCACTTCCTGGACCTCACTGAGGGTTGCCAACTTGGTTGCACACAGCTTCTTTTTCCTTTCTGCCTCGAGGCTTGAGCAAACATTTAGCTTCTCAAACAAGGCCTCGTCAGTTAGCTCGGGGTCATCCAGGTGTAGTCGGAGTTCCATCTTGATGGCATCACTGCGCAGCCCCGTGAGCACACTGTGACAAAACACCTGCTGTACTAACTGTGGCTCATAAGACAATGGGGAGTCGGCCTCCTGGCTGGCGAAAATAAATTTTTGATGCAGGTCAAGTGCACCACGCAGGAAAGCCTGTGGTGACTCCTTGGGTTCCTGTGTCTGTTGAGACAACTGTTTATACAGTTCAGTGGCCTCCTTCTCCTGGAAATGAGCACGAAGTATGCGACGCAAACTGGGCAACGATAACTTGCTTCTCCCTTCCAGATAACTGCACAGGGGGGAACTCGGGACAATAGCGCGAATCACTGCTCGGACAATATCCCGGTCCGAGTAACCCTTCTCCAATCCTGCCTCCAGCTGGTAGCTAGGCTGATGAAAGTGAGGCGATCTTTCTGGCCAGGATTGCCAATTTGTCCAGAGATCTTTTAACTCCCTCGCTAGCATCTGCACCATCTTTGCATAAGATTTCACCCCAGCTGTAGGAGTGGGTGAAGTGGCAGCCGTGGCTGTTGTGTCCGCCTTCGTTCGTGTGGGTTCCTCGGCCACTGGAGCAATGGGTGGGCGTCTCCTCAAGCATTGTGGATGATGCATCAACACCCTGCAAATATTTGGTGATGCCCTGTAGCAGTCCTAGCCCCTCAGTTGTACTGCTACTTGCTCAAGCTGAGCCGTGGTGAGACAAACAACTTGGTTGTTACCAACTCGTAAGCCTACAAAGAATCCTCCATCTTTGCTGTGACAGGTGGGTCCTGTTGCCTAGCCTTGACCACTCTCTTGGTCAGGTTACTTAAGGTACAACTTCCTCCACTCACCCGGTTCCTTGTGCGTCAGGTTCAGCCTCCTTCCACTGTTACAACCGAGTAGGACTCACCGGCTCATGCTGGAAACAACCGCTGGGTCCGCATCACTGGATGACCACAATGGCGCCTCTCTGCCCCAGGGTGATGAGCCAGAGTGACATGCTCATCCCTCTCGTGCCTCCAAAATGTAATATGCGGACAGGATGACTGAGGCTGGCAAACAAAATCTGTAAAATGGAAGGCAGGAAGGGACACCTTGAATGTTTGCACTGTTCACTTGCAAGGTTCTGCCACACGTGACCAGTACAGCCACACAAGGGCACTACCCTCCCGTCCACTGCTCAGCCAGGCATCTTCCATTTCTGTAAGAGGTATGACTCAGTCAAATGCAAGAAAGGTAGAGACTCGTCCACTTAATAAAAAAAAATGGGGGTGTCCTAAAATTGACACTCACTACATTCTGACGCTTCACTGTCAAAAACAAAAAGAAAGAAAATCAGAATGAGAAAAGCCAACAGTACAGATGTCGAAAGATAGCATTTTTCTCTAGCGATTATATTAATTGTTGTGGGTCAAAATCTCTGCGTTTTGTGTTTTCACGATGAGTCAGAGCTTTTGGTGAAATTCACAGAAACATTTGAGGGTTTTTACTGCATAATTCTTGTGTTTTGGTTACTTTTAGTTTTGTAGTTTTGAACTTGTAGAAACCTTCGGGCAGATTTTCTTACAAGCCAGTTTTCTTTAAAATCTGCACGTGGTTCTCCATGAAAACAGTGACGGTATATGCAATTTAGGTCTATCTTTTTATGCTTACATATCTTTTGGACAAGAAAATTGGCATACTTACAAATTGGTTGGATATCCATATCTAGACTCAACCTTGCAAAATTCTGGTGTTGAATCTTTGACTTTGCTTAAAATCTGGACGTTTCAAAACAGTTCTGCATCATTTGACTGGAAACTATAAGCAAATGTATCTATCAAACACAGGGAGGAAAACACCAGTCTATTTGTATGTAAATTGTGCTCATTCAACTAATAAACTTCTTTACATCGGTTCAGTAATTACAAATTGGAAGGAGGCATTCTGTTGTTATGGATCCACAGGCAAACATTGGACAGCATTTGGGGCTAATCAAAATAGTTATATTTGACCACTCATCCATGCTCACATGTACATCTAATCTGAAAGGTTGTATCTATAAAATTGAGTCCTGGCGGACACAGGACCCTTTTCTTCGTTTGATGACCTTTACGAATACAAATCTGATGACTCTTGGCTGTTTGACGGAGAGACTGACATTGAAAACGACCCCGTCAGTTATTCCCTGCAAAGGTACGTACATGTATCCCAACTAAATAAAGGGGTCATGCTAAATAGCATCAACTAACATCAACAAAGTGCCAACTAAATATCCAGGCATTTTTATACAAATATTTTAAATTTACAATATTAGTAAGGCT